AGGGTGACACAAGAAAACAAACTGAGAAAGGTAAACAGCTAAATATCTTTGAACCAGTCACTGCCATTAGTTTGGGTTTTAATACAGTTTGACTATGGTCTAAGACTTATGTCTAAAATCTGTGATGAGAATAACTCGTTTTAAAACATGTTAAATTGCTCAGTTAGTTAGTTTAAACTAAAGCAACAGTTGTCAGCTGTGCCCCACTGTGTTGTGGACCAGCAGCCTGAAGAGAAAGCTGCTGAATGTGTTTGTATTGATTGTGTGTTCTGGCTTTGTTGGTGGTTAGATGGGCTCACACATGGCTGGTTGTGACTGAGTGCTTGTTCGGGTACATGAAGCAGATATACAGGATGTTACTGTACACCAATAGGCTTAAATTGCCCAATGAATGTCTAGGATAAAAATGCACATGGTACTTCTGGGAGAGGTAATAGTTTCAAACATACAGATCTTATTATATTTCTTTTTGACAAGGCCTATGTAAGATTTTCTTTTTTTCTTTTCCCTGTTGCCTTTTCAGATTGTCTTTATACCGGTCACACTGAAGCTGAATATATGACCTCTTGTTATTGTTAGGATATCACATTATTTACTTATGTCCTCGTCCCCTCCACACTTAAGGTGAACATATACCACTGTAGACTGATGCAGTGCTCCTTGCGTTTAATGATTTTTCTGGGGGGAGGGGTTTTTGGATGTAAATGTGCGGACTCTTCCTAGTAAACCACATGTTATTCATCCCATCCCATAAATATACTGGACATTAAAAGGCTCTATTAATTAATAAATAATGTTCTCATTTTCATAGCATGCCACTTTTAACTCCGGAACCACTAGTGCATCCCTGACTTTTGACACATTGATTTACTATCTCAAAATGATGACTTAGCGTGACATATGTTCAACCTGTAGAGTCAGAATGTATCACTTAGGCAGTCAAAGCCGACTTAATATCTCCGTGTTTTTTGTGTATCAGTTTTTTCCTTCTCCTGGCATAAACCGGACCTTTGTTGTCATGGTAGCAGTAGTCAGGTGACATTTTCAAACGTTCACTTTTTAATTAGGTTTTGGCATCAGAACTACTTGGCTAGGTTAAAGAAAGCATCATGGTAAGATACATTTCTTACATCCCAATGGCAACCATGGGGGTAGGCGCTAGGTGTGACGCAGCAAGAAAATTAAATTGTGGGGGAAAGTGAAAATTGCAAAAATGATGATATGATTTTTTTTAATAATCTATTAAAAATCGTGGGCAACTTGTTCCAGTGAGAATACAATTGAACTGTTTGGAGGATAAATGTGAGACATTTTGTGTTGCACGTGTCTGCACGGTCTGCATCTTCACAGCTACAAACAAGGAAGTGAGTTTGGTGTTGGTAGCTAAACTTTTTTTCGGGAGGAAACTACAATGGTTGGTCAGATTTGCGTAAAAGTTGCGGTGGGTGGACAAAGTTGCAAGGTCCTGTAACCAATTGACAGGGATTGGTTGAATTTACGTTAACTGTTGTGATTGTAACTTCACCGCTAGATGACACTAAATCCTTCAGACTGGCCCTTTAAAATCTGTCTCCTCAGCACCTGTCAGTAAGAAAAAGCTGGACTCACAGTCTCCTCAGTGTAATTTGCTATAAAGCATCCCATGGCTGCTGAACATGAAAGTGCTGTGTGCAGTTTACTGACATCACCTGCAGTCCACAGTGATGACAGTCAAGAGAAATATTTGAGAGAAATGTGCCAATTTGACATAAACCAAATCCTGTACGGTGTACAGTGCAGGATTACTGGCACAAAATACACACACGCTTGTGCTCTCTCACAACACACGCATATACGCTCTCACATAGGCACCACTATAATTAATTTATGATCCAGTCCTATGATTTATTTTTATCCCCATGTGACCTTATGCGCTCCTTGAATATAAAAAGTCCTCAAGGATTTGTGGTGCTTGGCTGAGTTGAAGGCAAACGCGCACACACACCTCCCTGACTGCACAGCTAGAGTCCTGCTGGACCATGTATCATAACCCTTCATTTCTCCTCAAATGCCTGAACTCTCTCACCTTCCTTCTGCACCTCTTTTTCACTCATTTCCTCCATCTCTGCTCGTCCCTATGGAGCATCTGAAAATAGCAGCCAAGGGAAAAGTGGGTCAGCTGCCATGTGGAGGGGTAGGTGGGTGGGGGTGGGGGGTTGTGTATAGTGACTGTCTGTATGCGTAACCTAACAAACTGTCAGATACCTCCAAATCTCCGATTTTGAAGCTTTTTTTTAAAGTGTTGTGCAGCATTTCTTAGTCACACATTTTTCCCTTTTTTTTAGGTGAAGTAGAAAAATAACAAACACCAACTAATATTTTAATCCTTTAATCTACAAAATGTCTCATAATAGTTACAAATTTCACAATTTCACAAAGATTATGTCTCTTTATACAAATTGCTTGATGTGTGTCCTGCTCATAGTTCATTTATAAAATCCCAATGCACAATGAAGGGACAGGCATACTGGACTCACATTGCCCACCTTTTTTTTATCACACTTATAGTTTTGAGGTATGTGGTCCAAAATCTGACAAGTTGTTCTGAGTTTATATGTAAAGACAAAATAAAAACAAACCAATAGAAATAGCATTATCTAATACTGTCAGTATGCTGTAAAAAAAAATGTTTCTTTACAGTAAAATCTACAGTTTTAATAATGCTGCTGGTTATTTATATGTAAATCTCATCGTACCACCACAGGATTGTAGCACATATAAGATCTCTTTTAAGATCTCTGTCTGTGCAGAGTTTGACACTAGAAGGATGTTTTCACATTCATCTGCTGAAAGTGGAAAGTTTCTCTGTGCTCATTGAACATCTGATTTTAATAGTAAGGAAGTCAGTCCTGGTCCAGTATCAACTTGTACAGTGTGATGTAGAAACTTGAAGCCACCAGTGCACATCCACTGATAGAGGACTTTACAGTGAAGGAGGAGACATCTTGTGTCCAGCAGGAAAACCTTAAAAATGAACAACATTTGCGTGTTCAGAGATTCTGGAGGTTTTTTTGAAGGTACAAGGAGGAGATTACTGTTTAAGTATTTTAATGTGGTTTTTGCTAAAACAATATCAGACACACATCATTATGTACAGTATAAGTGTTTGTAATATTGTATGTCTGTTCTTTAAGTAATCATATAACAAAAGCCAGAAGCTAAAACATATTAAAATCTAAGTGATACTGGACTTGTGTTTACAGTGAAGGATTGCTGCTGTTTTCATGAGAAGTCTCCTTTATTACAGAGCAGTCATGTCTGTTTTCCGCTGTGTGCAAACTCGGCTCATGTGGCCCAGTGGATGATCTTATTATCTCTTATGTGTTAAACTAATACAGTTAGGCCTAATGGGTCCCATCCAAACAGCGCAGGAGGGGGCTACTGAGATAGCTCCAACGTTATGACACAAAGCAAGAGAGGTAGTGTGTGAAAATGTCAGAGAGAGGATAAAAGTGGGCAGTGTTTGTCCATGCCCTCTAGAACCACACATAGAGGAGTTTTATGATTTGATGCCCCTATTGACAGGATGATGTCATTCGTCTGTTTTATGATGAGGCAAAGGTGACTTGGTTTGGTGTAGGTCAGCGAAGATCATGGTTTCGGTTAAAATAAGTTCTTTGTCTTCATGGTTACAATAAGAACCACGCAGCAGTGCTGCAGTCAAGTATATTTTGCTGAGGCCAAGACTAGGACTAGTCCAAAGAGGTGCATCTCCAAGTCCAAAGAGGTTAGAGTCAAAGTCAAGGTCGAGTCCAAACAGATTCGAGTCCAAGTCACGTCCGAGTCCAAGGTGGTTCGAGTTCAAATCAAGTCCAGGTTCCAATGAGAGTTACAGAGTCAAGGAATGCAATTGCAAGTGGCATTGATTGGTTACAAATCAAAGAACTTATATAAAATCCAGACCAGGCGTCTAATTAAAACCTGCCTTTATCAAAACACGCAGCCACACCAGGCTAGTAGGGGAAATATAGATAAAGACAGGAGCCTATGACCCTGTTTCTTTTTGAATCTATATTGTTACAATCCAGAATATGTGTGTATCAAAAATGATGAAAATCTGAAATCCCTAACCTTTTGTTCTAGAGGTGTTTGTCTGGAAAATCCAACAAGCTAATGACAGCTAAACCAAGAATGTTACGAGTAGCTGTAGCCTCATACTCTGCAAGTACTTCAAGTGCTGTAAAGAAAATGATAAAATTCCACTGTGGACATTAATGCGTTAATGTAGAAGCCAACTACTTTTCTAGCATGTAGGGCAGCCCATACGGCACTGCACTGCATTTTCTCCACTGGAAGGGCACTCTAGATGGCACTTCATCATGTTTTCTTGCACACTGGGCCACTGTAGAGGGCACTTTATCATGTTCAAAAAAACATGATAAAGTGCCCTGTGGATCCACCAGTGACTGGCTCAATAGCTTTTTTTAGAATTGTGAAATGATTTAATGCCTCACACCACATTTGAATATTTCTGTTCAGGTTGTTTTCATCTGGTAGGGCCAGCGTGGACCTGCTTTCAAAGTTAGAATGAAAGCTGTGCATTTCAGCGTCGGACATGGGCGTCGCTTTGTTGGCGACTCAAAGGGGACTGAATCAGCCTGTGCTTTATATCACAGCGACATGTGGCACAGCATCCACACCTAGTTTGTCATGGTTTGTCATTCGATGGGATCCAGGGGCCCTAAAGAAAAATGGGCAATTTATCATCAGGGCGCTTAGACTTTATATCATTCCCTTAGATGATAAATGTGCATCACCATTTAAATCTTAAACACATTTTTCTTCAATGTACATGTAAAAAAACCCTTCCTTGAAATATGCTTTGCAATAATGTTATAAGCTGTCAGCTGGGTGAAAGGTGCTATACAAATACAGATCATGATGAAGTTGATACTGGTTTATTTCAGACGTGTGTATTTATTTGAATTCTTCACTGATCTGTTCTCTGCTGTTCTTTCTAGGATTCAAGTGTCCTGTCTGCTCCAAGTCTGTGGCGTCCAACGAAATGGAGGTTCACTTCATCATGTGTCTAAGCAAGCCTCGCCTCTCCTACAATGGTAAGGAACGCTGCTGTTTGTGTCTCTATTTACATTTTCTTTATATGACAGGATACTGCAGATCTTGTACTTAGAAGGAAAAGCCAGGCTCACTGTTGTGCCAGTACATAATGAACTGATTTTGGCCCTGCTATTTCGAGATTATGTATTTTTTCCATATTTATTGGTCTTCCCAATATTGTGCCAAGTTTCACTGCTGTTGTGCCGATAAATATTCATGACAAGGTGGGTGGGTCTATAGACTGATGCGTGTTGTCAAGCTACTCCTACCAAAACATGATAAATATGAATGAGGGGAAATGAGGAAATTCATAAAAATTCATAGGAGGAGTTTACACAAGCTGACATATTCAGTCACTCTTGAAAATACAACTGAGGCTACGAAGACCCCTAATGTCAATCAACCATTTCTGTGACATCTTCTCTTTAGTTTGAAGAGATGTTACTGGTCCCATCTGAGGCAATTATGTCTGTGTGCTTTTTAAGCGTTTGGTTTCATTCCACTGGAGCAGCAAACAACTGTTTGTACAGTGACTCAAATAGTGACAGAGGTAGCATTAAAGCTGCAGTAGGTAACTTTTATAAAAATAACTTGGTAGTATGGGAGACAGTTAATCTGGTCCCTCTGGCTAGTGCTTCTTAATGCATTTACAAGAATCCACCGTACCCGAAAACAAAACATCCAATCAGAGCCAAGAAAGATAGAAGGACACTTTGGCTTGGTGGCTTAAAGATATTGATTGCTAAGTCTCATTCCCAGTGTTGGTATTTGACAAACAAGACTCAACAGTCAAATATCTTTCTCAGCTCTGATTGGTTGTTTTCTTACCGGCCTGGTGGATTTTTGTAAATACCACTATGAGCACTAGGATGAGCCAGAGGAAAAAGATTTTTTCACAGATTATCTGTCTCATGTTCTACTATCAGGATATAGTGAACGTTTCTGCAAATATGACAAAAAGTTATAAGTTACCTACTGACGCTTTAACTACCATAGTCTTATTACTCAAACCAAACTACAGGCATGAAAGCAACCTTAAAACCTTTAAACTTTGCAATAAATATCCATTTTGCTAAAAGCCAAAGTTCTCTTCCTCTTTAATAAGTGCTATTAATTGCAAGAAGGGCATTACATTTTAACCAACTTCTTCACACGGTTGAGGTTAGTAGAAAGGGAACTTGGAATTCAACACAAGTGATAGAAAAATACATTACAATAAATGATAAGTTCTACATTACTGATTTGAATAAATAAAATAACTGGACTGGTAGCATCAGTAGTGTCGGACATCTAAAGAAACTAGATCTGAATACATGAATAGTGCAATGCGGGTTTCCAGGCGTCTTCTTTACACTGCACAGTTAACTTAACTAAGCAAATCATTGCAAATTCCACATAAGAATTTATGGCACTTGCATCTCTCTAACCTTTTACATTTTATTCAATATAATTTTACAAATTAATCAGATGGGATGACTGCCAAAAAAAGCAACTTTAATATGCTGACCCCTCAGCTTTTAATACATATTACTTCAGATCCTAAAAAACTAGTATATTAAGTATGTCGTCATACAAATAAAGTTTACCATCAATAACCTTGATGATCAATACGCAGCTTTGTCTCACCGGTTCCCATGTGATGTAAAAAAAAGTCAAGGATGTGTAACAGTGCAGAGCTGTGACAGCCAGGCATGTCAGGCTCCTATATTTTGCTTTATTGATCGTCTGTGGAGTGCAGCGTTGTTTTAGCTCATCCCTCACTGTCTCTCCATGCTGGCCGTCTCTCTGTTATTCAACCATCAGTTGACTGATTCGATTTCATGACCACTAATCTCCTTAGTGTGTTTCATGTTTTGGGGGAATGATACCTGCTGTTAGTTGTAGTGAATCCTACAGGAACACAGCAAACTTTTGGGAATTTGGGAAATTGGTCAACCAACTAATGAGTGACAAAATGCCAAAATGATTGGGATCACTGGATACATGACTGGATCACTGTTTCCATCAATTTACCATCAAACACAACTTGATGTTAAAATTGTAGGCTTGATTTTAAGCAGCGGGCGTACTAGCATAATTTGTGACATCACAAATAGTTTGGAAGTCAATCCTGGTCCAATATGCAACTTGTACAGTGAGAAATATTCATATTCTGTATAATACTGAGGTATGTGCTGTTTTTTGTTGCAGTCCATCTCAAAATGCACATTTTTATAAGCCAAGTGCACCACAAGACTTGAAGGGATGATGCAAGCTGTTGCTGACTTTCCCCAGAGGTTTTAACATCATTCATGTTTATTGTTACTCTGTGTCCACAGTGAGACTCAGGGCTGTTTATGGATGAAATAAAAATGTACATAAAGAGCACAAAAAAGGAGTCAGTAACGGTGCTGCAGACACACTGTCTACCTTCCAGTCTACTGTTTATTTCCTGCAGCAGGCTGCTCTTTTAATTATGGCCTGGGCTGCCACTCCTGGTTGCTTGGAGACACATGATTGACAGAAGCCATGTCTGTTCATTGCCCCTAGCAACTCGTTGACTGACAGTTAACTTGTTTGACTCAAGACTGTGCACATGTACGTCTGATCTGGAGCCTGAAGGTCACCTTGTAGAAGTCTGCGTTTGTGTGCGTAGCAGGGACGGTGTTGTCGTGTTTGTGATGATAATGATAATGTAACCACGCAGACGAAATCATGTAAAGTTGTTAGAGGGAGGCAGAGGAGGGAAGTCGTTTTTACAGCTCCACAAATAGCAGTCAACAAGGCCCACAAGGCCAGGGCAGTAAAAAATAATGCAAGTTTCGAGCCTGCAGCTGAATTCAGACTGTGAGAGGAAAGAAGATTGAGTGACAGAGACAGAGAGAGGAGAGTGAAACTGTCTTAAGGAAGATGGGATCCAGAGTGATGGAGTACCCTGATGGCTGATAACGGTCGAGAGGAGAAAGGGTAAAAGGAGAAAGACTCCCATAATTCCTCTCTTTTTTTTATACAGCTCTGTCTGTCCTGTCACTCTTTATTTCCAGCAAATTACTCTCTTTCGTTCTCCCTCTGTCCCTCTCTCCTCTGTGAGTCTGTCTGTCTGTCTGTCTGTCCGGCTCTGTTCCCGCTGTGTAATCTCTCTGTAATTTCACTTTTTTCCCCCTCCCTCTCTGTCCCTCCCTCCCTCTCTCTCTGTTCTCTTGGGTTTCTGAGACCCACAAAACGGGCCGAGCTGCAGCTTATCTCGTTTCCCAGCATGCTCAGGGGTCTATTGTCAATCACCTGGGCCTACCGGCTGTGGCACATCAGCACATCTCTGAGCAAGGTCATTACACATGCACACATTTACTGTACAATAGATGCAGGAACACAATCAGACTCTTAAAGGAGGACCACACTGACTTTGCGGGAGTTTAATCCAACAGTCACTTTTCTCAATATGTAATTATTAGCACCAAGTCATCTGCGTATATGCACTGCCTGTCTGCTGCACATGTTAATGCGGTGTAATGTTAAGGAGTCACAATGGTGTTTTTCCTGTTTTAACCCATTATCTTCACATTTAGTATAGTTTATGTTCATACAAAAAGCTTTTACATCTATTTCTGTCCTTCTGTCAGCCTAGAAATGTCATTACCGTGTGGAGATGAAGTTAAAACTGAGATGCATACAAACAAAAAGATTAATAATTTGCAAACATTCAACCAATCCTCATGAATTCTGTGTGACCTCGCAACTTCTCCTAAATTTGACCCATCATTGTAGTTTCATAGCAGGCCCCTGCGCAAAATGTCGAGCCATACGTCATCAAACTCATACTTATTGTATTTTCACTGGAACAAAGTTGTCATAGATTTTTAATACATTTTACAAAAAACTGGTAAAGACCCTTAATAAAGCCGTTTCACCTTAAGAATCAGTGTTTCTCTGACGCTGTTTGGTGGACAAAGGACATTCCATGGGCTGTGAGCTGAGCTGCAGATAATGTTAGATTATCCTAGTAACTAAAGATCCAGATGTCATCTGGTTAAAATGTATAGTTAAAAACCACCAAGATCTGAATCAAGAGTGAATCAAAAATTTTTTGCTTGAAATGTGATAAAAAGTCAATTTATGGATTCTGGCAGACAACCACAACGCTGACTCAGGCGTTGACAGGCGACCAGTGAAAGGCAGCGTTATCTGAATAAAAAGACAGATTTGTCTGAGTTTGAACATTGTTGGAAACAATTGGGATAATGGAAGTACACAACTCAACTGCATATAGAACATAGAGCTAGAGTTTATAGACATTTTAATGTGGATATGTTACATATTGTATCTTTATGTTACAAGAGAAAAGGTATAGTATGAGATTATAGTAGGTTTTTTATTTTTTCACATTTTTATTGTCATATCTATCCTTAAGGTGTGGTATGGTTAAAAAAGCACATTTACTAAGGCTGCAGACACTGAGAGACTCTTCTGACATTTGCACTGCATACCAGTAACAACTAGGTGAAATAACTTATAATAAATGTGACACTAAATGCCCCATTTTCACTTTCTCTGACAGCTTTAATTTCTTGTATAAATCTAAATGTACTAAATCAAATTAAAACACACGAACCAAGTGTGTTATGTGTGTCTCTGTGCTCGCCCACTTGCCTGCACTGTGTGTGCATGAGTTTGTGTGAAGCAGGTGAGGGTTATAGGTAGCACACTGAGTCCACGTGAGCTGACCACCAGATCTTTTCTGGGCTTGACTTTGCATGATGATATTTTAATGCCTCTCACTAAATATAGCCCCTCGCACAGAGAGGAAGTGGGGGCCACATGCACACATAGATGTCAGGGGGGTGGTATGGAGACGCAGGGAGCCAGATAGAGTGTGTGTGTGTGTGTGTGTGAGAGAGAAAAGGTACAGAGAAAAGTGGAGACGTGGAGCCTCTTGCAGCTCAGGTCATCGGAGGACACAGAAAGAGACAAGAAAGAGGGAATTGAGTGCTGTGATTCAGAGGAGCAAAGAGCGACTCCTCTA